CTTTATATGCAAAGTTTATATTTAAAAAAATTTAAATAATTGCTACAGTTTGTTCACAGTGGACAGCATGCATGTACGTGTATGCATACAAATCTCTTCCCAACGATTTATCTCGTCATCGCATTTGAAATCATTTCCTGCCTTGTTTGCAGTGATCATTACCATCTTCTAAATGATAAATCTACAACTAACATGTACGTACAGATCTCCCAAAATACCTTCATTTCGTCGATTGTGATTGAATTTATTTTGCTACGATTTTGTAACCTGTACCTATTGAATTCAAATGTCAAATGTTCTAGAAATTCCTTGCCAAACATAAACATTTACAGTGGTGTTTTGGCTTGATAAGCAGTACATTTGGGTTTCAATTCACTCTTTTCGGTAGATCTTTATCTACCCACTCCACAATTTTCTCAAGGTAACATGCGCCAAAGATTTCCCGACAAAGATTTTGGATTATGGTAAAGCACACAGGGGTTACTTACCTAAAAGAAGAGTTTTTTTTTTTTTTTTTAGGGAAACAGGCTGGTAATTCACAATACACTTATGAAAAACCTCGAAACCTCCTATGCAGCCGCTAGGATTTAACATGCTCAACTATCTTACCTCTCGACCGTTACTGGGCTTTCTCAGCTTACGAAATATGTATTTTAAGTTGATTATTTACATAACAGAAGAACAAAATAAAATGACAGATTATAAATAGTGCATTTTACTGACAAAACGTTCTTCGAAAAAAAATACTGTAAAGAATAAGAACGATGCAGTTAACGGCGGCCGATAAGGAGTGCTGGTGCATATATTTTTTCAGAGAAAATTATTTTGCTCGTGTTGTCGTAAAACGAAAAATATTCATAAATTATTTTTTTATAGTTGTTAAAATAGTCATGGATTATCTGTTTTAAGAGAATATCTTCTTAGAAAATTTTCAAAATGAAATTGGCTTGAATTCACATTACGCATGGGGAAAATTATAAAGACACCAAGCCGCTAACCTGTTCGGTTGCCAGCAACAAATCCAGGACAAACATCACACATCCAGCATTCTTATTCACTCAACTGCAGTGAACTTAAATATTTGTTTGTATATTATTAGTTAGTATTAAAATAATAAAAATATTTACTCTAATAAAAACTGTTGTTTAAGACATTTTCTTTTGTTAGGGATTTCATGTGAGTAATTAAATCTGCGTTGAAGCAAGACAATTTCTTAAAACTTAATGCTTCAAAAAATTGAATGCTGGGATTCCTAGGAAAGAAATTATCCTCAAAAATATATTCCACAAAAAATTTTGAATTTTATTCTTATAATGATTTCTTAAATAATTAATAATTGTTATAATTATTAAATATATAATGCTTACTTATTTTTTACAAAATGTACAATAATACCCTTTATTTACAAAAATACCATATTCAACAACTATATTGTAAGCTAATAAATAATATAATGATAATAAGCTAATGAATTTGTTTCGTATTAACTATGTGCCACTTTTCCTTTTTAGCTTTCTGTTTGTTATAGGGTAACGTTTTTAATCCTTTTTCAGACAAAGTGTACTAATGTTTCAAGGACAGGAAGGCAAGAATTTTTAAACTCAGTCAATAAATTCATGATCACCTGAAAATTCATAAAGACTGTTTCGGGTTAAAATTCCCTTTCAGAATAGAATAGTGTATATAAAAAAAGTGAAATGCAAATTTTAAATTGATATTATCACCGTTTCAGCCCTTAAATAACTCCTAAATGTTTTGTTTATTGCTTTTAAAAACAGATCAGATGTTTAAAAGTTAATACCGTAATGTTTGTATTAAAAAATCTCGAAATTATTGCTTAAGAAAAAGCGGAAACCAAAGGCATTATTATTATTTATTTATACCAAGGGCACGTTTAATTTCTTTGAGATCGAGAAGATATTTTAAAAAAATGTTTATGCTATATCCTGAAATCACTTAATTTTTTGTTTTCATAAATCAGATGAAAAATAAGTCACATTTGAAACCCATCCTTTTTCAAAACAGCTATCCACGTATAATCATAAAAATATTTTTTTTCGCCCTTGAAATTAAGACATTCAGTTACCAAATTTTAGCTTCGCTGAATATTTAACTTTACTTAAAAAAGCATATTTGTTTTAGGGAAGTAAACTTTTAAGTTTCGCAGCTGTATCCTGCGGCATTGAGACGGTCATCACGGAGATTCTAGTCTTTTGCAAGTCTCTTGACAGCTGACATCAACGGAACATATCTAGTAATCAATCTCACTCAGCGGAATCATTGAAGTAAAATTCTGGGAAGGGATGGGAAATAACAAAAGAACTGCCTGACAATTTTCTTAGGTTTAGGGTTATTTTCGCGACATTTTACGGGAAGTTCGGCCCAAAACTAGCGACAGTTTTAAAGGGATTTGCAGAAAATCGCTCGACAGGCTAAGGGTTAAAGCTATAATATACCCCGCCTGTACGCGGAGAGTAGTGTGTCTTGAGTTCGGATATTAGGGTGACTTGAATTCAGAGATTTGTGTCTTGAGTTCACAGATTAACTTGAGAACGATCGTCCGAGTTTGGAGCTGTACTTTAGTGCTTTGCAGTGAAGCTCTTTTCCCCATTGTAGCCTGAAGACTATGACGCTGATTGTTTCAATGTGTTTATCGTAGTTTTTCGACGATCGTAAACGTGTCTTTCAAACTGTCTTGTGTAACAGTAATTACTGGCGAATAAATTGTGTTTGGATTTTTCATTAAGTGTCATCATAATTAATCAAAATCCACGAGCCTATAAAACGTAACATTATCATCAAAATGAAGAAATCCAAAAGGAGGTTAATGTTTTATTATTAATAATGCAATAAACATATAAAATCGAATCATTTTTGATTTTTTACGAAAGAATGAATTTCAGTATACTTTATTTTCCTTCTTACAAATTCAAGTAATTAAAACGGCAGAAAATTAACTTCTTTTGGTAAAATTCCATTTCAGTATATGGGCACCCTCCCCACCACTTTTGAAAGTCGGTACACCACTGCAGAATCTCATAATGTGAGCATATAGGGAATGTCAAGTCGGTTTTTTAGCTACACAGATCATGACATGATTAACAAAGGAGTTCCTTAGGTGTCCATAAATTATAAAATAACTGCAGCACCTCAATCAGATGGATATGAATAGACTAAGATATCGAAAGGAGGTGAGAAAGGGAAATTTTTATAAGAAAGGATGATGATATCCAGTCCTTCAATTAGACTAAAGATTACAAAAGCAGATACTTACAGAAAGTTATTCACTACAAAACTACAGAAACAGTTACCTACTCTACTTTCTAAGTTACTATCTAAGTTTTCTACTTAGTTCTTCAAATTCTTCTGTGAGTTTTACTGAGAAAATTACCGTTCTTAGTACGTTGATGAGATTTAAATTTGAACTGAAAGCAGTTAAACTTTTAGAAAGTTACAAAAAATCGATATTTAATCTAATGTGATATGCTGCATCTACTTTGATTTTAATTTATAAAGTGTTCTTAGGTCTACAGAGATTATAGGTCTGTCTTATATACCTTTACAAATGCTTAACCCATATTTGTGTGAATCAATTCCTCGTGAAAGTTGGACTCCTCCGTGAAATTATTTCTAGTATGCTCCAAGTGACGTGCTTTACTGGAACATATTTGTTGATAAACAAATTAATCCACTTCATATTTAGCTTTGAAAGTTCATTATGAGTACCGAATCCAATATATGCAAATACGTAGTTAGATTCGTCTCGGAAGTTTCCGGTACAGTCACGGAAGTTCTCAGTACAGTGTTTCCTGTGTCAGCACTTTGGATAAGCCCAATCCACCTGTTTTAATTCCTCAAGGGAAATCGAGTGCTCCAATTACATAAAGTATAGTTGTTTTCTGTAAAAAGAAGAAAAAAATGTTATATGTTCCGGCAATCACACAGCTGCATCGAAGTTATGCCCAGAATTTCTTAAGCTATGGGAGTTCAGTGTTTCTATGCTGGAAACTCGAAGGACTTAATCCCGCTCAAGCATTTAAGACGAATTCTGTTAAGGAAGCCTGCAGAGAAGAGAATTGACATTCTTAAGGAAATACAAAATATTCTGAGTCACAAAACGCTAAATCTTCAGAAACTGAAACTTGTCAACGAATGCAGACAAGCTTTGACACCTTTACGAAACTATGTCTTGAACGTAGAGGGAGGGAATTTAAAATTTTAATTGGATTCGATTTGGAGTAGCCCAGGCCCACCCAAGTACGCAGGCGATCGCCACGGGCTGTAGTCTATCTTGGAAAGATGGACCTGCAGCAGTGTTTAACACAGAGGTTTAATTGTAGTTACCAGAGTGACTAGGGATCCAGCCTCTATCAGAAATGTAAAATTTATAATTATTCACAGATCTGAATTATTTCGGTATAAAGTATTAAATTTTGAAATTAGTTAATTAATATAATAGTTCACTAGATGTAAGAGTTCAAATGCCCAAGAAATGCACTCAGGTTCATTAATATATGCACGATGACACTTCGAAATCCCGCGTCACTTCTTTTACTGACCAACAGATAGAACCAACGGGATGAGCAACCTGCCCATCTTTTTCGTTATTGGTAACAGGAGCTTGAGCACTGAAACAATTCTGCATTTATACGGCTTTTCAACATAATTTTTCGAAATTTGCTAAAATATTTTGCATTCATTTTTCAGTTTGCAGTTATATTACTTCAAAATAGCATATTTCTCGAGGGAGGCTACCAATCAAGTATTCCAGTACTGTAATACTTGTATAATACGGAAGAAGTATATCCCTGAGCTGCATGTTTAGTTCTGACTTTTAATTATTATGTTATATATGCGGTTAAATTTTACTGAAGAAACTTTTAATATTTAGAAAAAAAAAGAAAAGTTTGCTACTGAATTTTAATTTAGAATATAAACCTAAATTATTTAATTCAAAATCTAATGTTTTTACATATTGAAAATGATATTTTGTTCGCAGCCTTGGCGAAGCTATCGTCTTGTGAAAGTTTATTTACAGTATGCTTGGTTGTGACGTGTGATGTTGATGGTTCAGTTACGTTGATAAACGTTGAAAACTTTAAATACTGATTTGATCGAATTAATCTACTTAAAAATGGGTAAGGAAAGCATTAAATGACGAAGAGGAATTTTTTTGTCGAGTTTTCTTGTTTCAGTGCTTATGAAATATAGTACCGGCATCCTACTGTTGCATATTTTATTCACACCGTTTTTTCGTTAGATGCAAATTTTCCCACTTTTTCTTTGTATACCATTTTTAAGTAAAATTTACATATCTTCCAGTCAGGTTTCTGAATGCTCATTTTAAGCCAGGTGGTTTCAAACTGCAGGCTTCTGTGATTTATAGAGTTTGTTGGGCGGTTTCTAACCTATAAGCAAAAATATAAACGGAAGGACCAACACATGCAACATGGAAATTTGGAAATTAAAAATATGAATTATTTGGAAAATTTTTAGTAGCTCTACATTATGGGTTAAAAGGAATTTTTTAAATATTTACTGAAGGGAATTATGTATGCATCCGAAGTAATTAGTAAATTATGGATACTGTTCTATTATCGGCACAAGATTCAGATATCGCCGAAGCATAAAAATAATCGCCAAAATATTTACGATATGGTTAAGTTAAAGAAAATTCCAAGAGAAAAAATACGAATATTCATCAAAAGAAGAAATTTTAATGTAAATTAAACAACTTGCCAACGAAATCAGAAAAAAATAAGGTAAAAGTTTACAATTGGGTGCCCCTTGTTTCTTGGCGATTCTTTTTTGACGCCAAGATCGGCGCTTGGAAGGCACAATATCAAGATGGCCCATACACAAAACCAAAATAAGAAGTCAAAGAATTGCACAAACTCTCTGTCCATGTACACATCAATCTGTTTTCACTTAAAAGAAAAAAAAAAAAAAAAAAAAAAAAAAAAAATCCTAGAATTGCACAAACTAGGCATTGCACACTGCCTTAAATTTGTCCATGTACACATCAATCTATTTTCATTTAAATAAAATCAGGAAGCCAAAACAAAGTTAAAACTATCATGGTAAACAGAAGTGAGGTTTCATCACCAACATTTAAAAAAAAATGTCGCTAATCGAAGGGGCACCCAATTCTACACTAGAGCCAAAAATAATCGGTTATCAAATTAAGGCATAAAACTGCAGATATTTAAAATGTCTGCAAACATTCGTGTTTTAAAACGGTGCTAATAAACTCATTTAAATAGGAGTCTACTTAGCTACCTCAGTGTTTATTTTCTCATTTCTCACTAAAGTTTATTTTCTCATTTCTTATTGCCTCATAACCTTTCAGTTGTTTGCATGTGACAGTTGGTAATGAGATCAATAAACTTATGGTTAAGGCAACAATGTTCAAATCCGGCTTCTTTTTTATTTTTCAGTGTTACAACTGTCTCAGTGTATTATAATGCCATTAATAATATCTTGGTTGATCTTTACAATATAGTAACTGGTAGTTTGGCGACATTTTGGAGGCGATAAAGGTTACTACCTGGGACTTTGGTAATAATGTGAGCAGTACTCAGTTCCGATTACGCATTATTTTTGTGTGAGGGAAATGAGAGATCATGGGATATGTCATGTGATATTAATGGACGAATTACGGTTCTTTAATCGGAAAAGGGGGAAATCGGGAAAAAATCTGGAAATTTTGTATTTGGCTTTATTCTGTGTTGTGTGAAACAGTGTTCGTGAATTTTTGGATCCCATGGCCGTAACTAAAGTGAATTCGAAATGGGTATTTATGTATGTATTAATTTAATGTATGTGCTCATTTATATTTTAAGTAGTGTTTTTGAATTAATTATATTTTAATTAATGATAGTTATTTTGTGAATTTTATGTTTGTAGGAATTTGGTATACGTTTTAGTTGAAGTAAACGTGCATGGAAATAATTTAAATATCTGACACTAAGTATTTGTAATGGTTGCGGTATGAATTCATTGGTGATGTGTATAATGTAATAAATGATTTAGAGGTAAAAGTTTTTGGATATTTTATATGTGGAAATGTTCATTACTTTTTCGCGATCAGGTAACTTCATATATGTTCTTTTTACCGGGTTTAAAGATTGAGAAAATTGTCATGTATTTTCGTGAAATTTTTCTAATTTATGAGAAAAAAGCAGTGTACATAGATATAGTGAAGAGTGTGCGCAATGCCATTTTTGTGCAATTCTGGGATATGTTTTTTTAAGTAAAATAAGTCGGCGTGTACATGGTTTATGTGTATGTGTTATTTTGAAAAATGCGTAAGGAGTATGGTATTGTGCACTTTTTCCCAATTTTGCAGTGAATATTTGTCATGATTAGGCAGTTTGTAGATAAAATTTCTAGCATAAGTGTAATTCGGCTAGTAGATTGTTGGAAGAAGTTCAGTAGATAAAAAGAAAAGAAACATGTCTTTACTTCGTGAAGACAAAATGGCGGCGGGAAAAAAAAATAGAGGGTTGCTGTAGAAGAGTTGGTCGCCAAATTTTCGCCAAAAAAACGCCAAGTTACCATAATGTAAAGATCAAGCAATATCTTCTTTAATAACTTTAAGAAAAGTTCAGGCAAAGCAGTTAAGCACAGCAACTAAAAAACATTCTTTTGTTTCTTGGCTAATCCTGCCGCACACTCACTTTGGCGGAAAGATACAACCCATGTTTCCTCTATGCAAAAACAGACTTTTGTCACTTGACAGTATTAGCAGTGCCATCTGTTTTAAGTCATGGTCTAGACATTAATGCATGGTCACAGACTTCCCTTGTATAATAACTGTTTCAATTAACAACAGTACAATGATTTATATCAGATTGATGTTGACAAAATTCATTCCCAGCACATTACACCTTCACATCTCTATTCCAGTGCTTCCTTCAAATAGAAATAGAACTTCATTTTATGAGTTTTTCTGCACTTTCTTTCAGAGTGAATAATTCTTCTTTCCTGAAAAAAATGTGTTTCATTATTAGGTGAATCCCATAGGTAAATACAATAGTAATAAAAACACAAGTCTTTGTTAAATCTTTAGAATGTATATTCTCATTGCCAATTTTGAAAAGGCATTCTTTTACATTTTTAAAGTAAACATTGTAGCAATTTTTAAAGTAAACACATGCAACTTCATACAGACCAATCTCTTGGTGAATTTGCAAAACATTTGCAACTACTCTGCTCTGCCAACGGAACTGTACCAAGTTTTGTTTCAAAGAATGAGAGCATTCAAATTTTAGCTGAAATTGCAATAGTCTGTCATTAAGAGCATGTCTACCATCGCTTAAGTTGTAAAATCACTGAATTCTGGTAGTTTAATTTAATTGAGTTCGATTCAAGGCAAATGAGCTAACTGTATGTGCATTTTCGGGGTAATTTCCCTTTATGTAATGTAAAATCGAGTAAGTTCTTAGAAAGTCTCCGCGAAGGCATCTCACCCCTGAGGCATACAGCATTCATATGTTTTGCTGTAGTCAAACCAAACCATCATTAAAAGCAACAATTTAATTCACATTGGTATTTTTTCCAGATGAAAAGCAAAATATGTGCTACATTAATTGACATTAAGAATTGATTTCAAGATTTTGGAGACGAGAAACTATATATCAGTTAGCCATTTATTTCTCGCTTCCTAAGTACTTTCTGTCTAACTCAGGGGTCACCAAAGGCGTCAATAGAAAAAATAAAAGTCATCAGCATAATAAGTAACTAATTACAAAATTAATTTCGGTACTTATGTAATATCACAACTGGAAGCAGCTATACATGTAACTGTTTTTTTGTTTTAATCTGACATTGTAAGTTTGTTTATTGTATTCCAAATTCCAGTGGCTTTTCTGGATAAATTATAATGTTTTTAATCTAAATTTTAAAACATGTTTTTGTGAAATTTGCTTTCATTGAGGTGGGCGCGATAAAAATTCTGAGAGAATACATTATTTTGCCATAAAATCATTAAAGTGAACAATTGCTTGGGGTCTTCTTAAATGATTATCATGAGATTTCCACCCAAACAAAGGAAACAAAAGCCCCTTCTAAGTAGGTTTATTGATTCTTATTTTGGAATAGCTTGTTAAAATATATCTATAATAATATATTTGTATGTAATAAATTTTTTTACAATTGTAAATCACCATTCCTTTTTTTTCTGTAAAACTCTTGACACTGCACCAAGGTGGTTATGCTAACATGTAAGTGCCATAATTTAGTGCTGTTATATATATTATCAGCTGTAGCACATTTTTTTTTTTTTGCTCAGAATTTGATCTAAAATATTGTAGATTTCATTTTGAAGTAACTTTTTATGCCTTGAGATATATAATGCGTTAAGTCATTATTTTGGCATTATAACTTGTAATGAAAATTATTATTTAAATTGGAATGTTTTTGTTTGATTTTTACTAAGTTCAATGTGTTCACTTTATTATTTATTATTATTATATTATTTTATTATTATTTATTATTATAAGCTTTCACTTTATCACATGAATTCATTATTTTCTTAATTTTTGATGGTTGTTAATTAGCATATATTTTACAAAAAAAAAAAAAAAAAAAAAGACGAGATTTATGTAATCTGAAAAGTACCCCTTTTTTGGTACTATTATAATTGCACAGCTAGAATAGAAAGAAGTGATAAAGAGAGTGTTTTCTGATTATCCACACCTGATAGCGAAGAAAGTGACACAGAGTTTATTGAAAACGAAAAAATTTCGATTAACAAATTAGTCGGTGTTCTCGACACAGCAATTATAGGACTTGGACAGTGGAACTTTGTAACTGAACAAGAAATTATGTCTGTTTATAGAATTAAAAAGAAAGTATTATCACATAAAAAATGAAGCAACTTAAACAACTACATTGAAAGAAATGTTTAATAAAGTAAACAAATAAATATTAAGTTTTTTTTTTTTTGTTCAGTTTGTTTCAATTTTGATACCCTTTAGATCATAATTGTTCTTTATTTCATAAATTAGGGTTTCATATTTTTAATTTTATAATTTCTGCATGCCATCTTACCAGATTTAAACTGATGATCTATAATCCAGAAAAATCGATAATCCGGAATCGCTGAAGTCCCGACGAGTCCGGATTAATGACTTTTGACTGTAGTAACAATTTAACAAAATTAAAAATTGCAAGAAACATTTGTAATAAAACACTTGTATTTTTTTTCTTTTCACTATTCTCTCCATCTACACTGCAATCTGTTTCAGCCTCAAAAACATGAGAGAATAGCAGATCGGGCCATTGCACACAACTTGGCACTGCGCACACTGTTATTTTCCGCATGTGGTTTTGCTTAAACACCAGAGAAATGCACAATTTCAATCCATAAAATTTGATCATTTAAGAATTATATGATTGAACAAAACACCACATTTCTGATGAAATGTTTCTTTTTTATCTGCCAACAAGCTCTAAAGTCACATTATAATTACTTACAGAAAAAAGTAAACAAATAAAAAAGGTACTTATCTTCTGTATTAGCTTTGGTGACAGAAAACTGCACTGATGTAATTTGGGTGTAAATAAAGTTATTTATTGTCAAATGTTGTAAACATCCAGGAAAACAAAACTAACAGAGGCAAACAATAAATTGACTATTCATTCAATATCTGTATAACATAAGTTATTTAACTCATGTATAAAAGGAATTTAATATAAACTTGTATATATTATAGTATTCAATACAATTTTATCAGTAGTTTTTTTTTTTTTTTTTTTTTTTTTTTAATAGCATAATTGTACTTAACCTATTTAATATTACATTAATTGTTTTTATTTAACCCTTTGCGTATGGTACGATTTAGACACATTCTGTTTCTGAAATACGGGGCAGTTTTTTTTATATTCTCTATTTTTCTTAATATTTCTAGAATTATTGGATGGCTTTGTCTCAGTATTTGTTTCTAAAAAGCTACCGTATGTCTCCATTTCATTGGGCACAAAATCCCAATATCCATTGGCTAATGGATGGATGTATAATTTCAGAAAGGTGGACATACTCAGTCTAAAAGGATTGAACTTTTAAAGATTTTAAATGATAAAAAGTCGATATTTTTAGTATTATGGAGGCAAATAAAGTGAAGGCAAATATGGAGAGATTTTCCTACCCTGGTTATAATGTTTTTGTTCTGGAGAAAGAAAGAAAAGTAGCTATGGGTATTGTGGTTGGTATTAGGTACGCCATCACTTCTGGCTTTGAAATTTTAAAATCCATGGATCATACAGATGATAAAATTGAAATTGCTAAGCTAAATTGCTGGATGAATAATTTCCATTTAAAAATATTATCTCTCTTTATAATCCACCCATAAATAATCCAAACCTTAATTTAATTAACATCAATAGAAGGACTATTGTAACTAGTGACTTCAGTGCACACATTCCCAAAATTGGGATTATAGTAATAGAAACCGGGCAGGAGATGCTGTTTGAAACTTTTTGCGATCCAAATAATGTGAAACTTGAATTTGATAAACGAGATCACCTGACTTTGCTTATAGTGGCACCTCCAATAACCCAGATCTTTCCCAAGCTTTGCTGTTGGTTTATACTGATATTAGGGGCATTAGTCACAGAACTGTTATTGATGATTGTGGTAGTGGACACTGTATGGTTCTATTTTCTTTCCAAGGTATAATGTTTTCCCACTCCCATAGTAGAATGTCCTGCAACTTTCGCAAAGTAAATTGGCCATCTTTTAGAGATTATTTGGAAAGAAACATGGATAAAAGAAGATAGATTTCAACCAAGACCCTGATAAAATTGTTACTAACATTAACAGCATTTACTAACATTGCCACCAAGAGATCCATACCTAGTGGTAAGCTGAAGGTTTTTGTTGTGTTTGGAATGACTTCCTAATAGGAAGACCCACCAGTGGCTGAGCGGTAAAGACGCTGAACACTGGTAGTTCGGTCCGTGGTTCGAATCGCTTGAACGGGCTGGTTGCATGGGTGTTTTCGTGGTTTTCCCCATGTGTAACGTGTATACGAGCCAGTTTCCCTTAGAAAGTCCTCCACAAAGGTATCCCTCCCTTTAGGCAGATAGCCCTCGTGTACTTTGCCATAATTAAATAATCCAATCCAATCTTAATAGGAAGAATCATGATGAGCTCTGCAATAGAGCTAAAAAAATCTAGTGATCACGAGGTTATGAGGAACTGGCAAAGAAGGTCTGTGATTATGAAAAAAGAGAAATCCGTAAGAGAGCTGCCATAGAACAATTTTTGTCTAAAGTAAATTATAAAACAGTCTTTAAAGGCTTATAAATACATGAACACGCTCTGTTCGAAACATTTTAATAATACAAAGGAGCCAATGAAATTAAAAATGAATTTTTATGTAATGATGGTCTGATTGCTGATGCGTTTGCAAAATACTTTGCTTCAAAGCAAATGAAATCAGTTTACATGAAACAAAGAGCTGGAGATTTTTAAAAATATTATATTTTGACTAGAGCTTCAGATCACTTGGCTACAGAATTGTATAATGACTAAGTTTACAAAATACAAGTTAGAATTTACTACTATTTCTCTGCTGAGGCAGGGTAAATCTTTAGGACCCGATCTTATTTATTATACTGGAGGGAAAAGGCAAGAAAGGTACTTTTAAGGCTTTTATTAAAGTTTGGTGTGAAATTAACACTTCAATCCTCATGGAAAAAGGTTAAAGATAAACCAGCATCCAACTTTGATAGTCACAAACCAATCCCTGTAACTTGTGTTGTGGCAAAGGTAATGGAGAGATTTGTCATAAGCAGGCTATGATGGCATCTTGAGACCAAGGGTCTTCAACACCCTGCACAAGCTGGCATTTAGGAAAAACCAATCTACTGAAGAACATGTTATTTTTCACAGAGTTATTAAAAACCATCTTGATAAGGGCAGCATCATAGGTGCTATTTTTGTGGCTTTTAAAGGTCATATTATTCCATGTAGAAAACAAAGCTCCTATATAATACAGATTTAAAGAAAGACTTAAAAAGTTCCTAAACAGAACCATGTTAAAACTTTATTCCTGGTGTTCTGAAAACAATATGATTGTTAATACACATGAAACAAGTTTATTGTGCTTTTTTTTTTATGCCACCAACCTTTACAGCTAAATATATTTTATGCCAATACAACTCTTCCATGTAGTGAGAACACCTAGTATTTAGGAATAACAATATCTGATCACAAACTCACTGGGAAATTGTATACTGATAGACGTATGTCATTGCTCAAACGTCTTGCAGGAGTTAAATGGGATTGAGCAACTTCAGCTCTTCTTGCTAACTATAGGACCTTCTTAAAACTTGAGATGCTCTACTCATTACGGTCTATCAAAAAGGAATGAATAGACTTTAACAATTGCAGAATAATGCCTTCTGCCTTATATGTGGTGCTGCCAACACTACACCTGTTGACACCTTATTATTATACTGATGAATTAAGTATTCAGTATTAAATAAAGAAAGCTGCTTTAAAGCTATATCAAAAATTTATATATTTACCATATATTGGATCTTGAATTAATTCTGGGCTTTGACCCTGCAGACTGAAAACTTGGGAAAGCTTTGTCTTGAGGATGATGGATGGGTTTGAGATTTCAACTCAGGTTTAGCCATTATTACGACTTACCTTAATCCTTGGGAAGCTATAATGACTTCCTACTGTCTGACTCTTTTGAACATGTTTTAAAGACTCAAGATTGCATTGCAGGTTTGTTCAGCGCAGGTATGGAAACTATCTATAATCATTTTTCCTTCTGATGCTTGGTTGCATACCTATACTGATGGCTCAAAATTTGATAAAAATGGTGTTGCAGGAGCCAGAATTTTCTATGAGCATTTCACATACTATCTTTCTCTCGGAACTGTAAGACCATGCTTGATGATGAGGTTGAAATGATTAAATTCACTATAACTCATCTAAAAGCTTGTCCTTCCCTTTCTGAAGAGTTTTTCATTTCTCAGACTCTCAATCAATAATACTGGCAGTTACTAATGGTTACCAAGCTTCTATTTTCTTATCTGTAAACCAGTGTAGATCCCTAGTATGAAAAACATAAAATGGTCATTTTGCAGCGGATTCCTTCTCATTGTGGGATCCCCGGAAATGAAAAGGCCGATGAGCGGGCCAAAAGGGCATTCCTTATTTTCAAGTTTCAAATGGCCAGGTTGGTTATAAGTCTGTATTATCAAAAATCAATATGACCTTCATGGACAAGTAACTGTCACAACTAAAAAGAAAAGAGCAAGAGATAAACTATGAGAGAGGGACATCTATAATCTCCCACACTACCCCAGAATCAGACAAAGGCTGTAACTGCCTTTTCCCTAGCTACAATGCATGACTTTATGCATGACTAATGCTATATAAATTTGATTATAACTTGTTGTATGGGTTTTTGTTAGACATTATTTTGTGCTTTATTTCTTAGCTGCTTAAGACTTTTATTCTCTGTAGAAATTAAAGTAACAAAATGTGTTTGTAGTAATATGTCATTCCTTTGCAGCTATATCAACTGGTGCTTCATGCTTATTATCAACATCCTTATTTGTTCTGTTGTTTGCTGCAATGCAAGTGTACCGTGTACATTTAGCATCAACTCAACTGATGACAGTGTTAGGAGGTTTTCTAGGATCAATGCTTTTCATGCTTGCCTTAACTGTATCCTTTTCACATTTTATCATTACGAGTTTTTATTTATATTTTTTAATATGCATACATAAAACATTTTAGATATAATCCTTGGTAAAAAAACATGTGTGGGAGAATACCTCAAAATAATGAGAAGAAAATGATTCATGAAATGAACAGTATGATTGATTCTAATTTGTGTTCCTGCTCACAACAGTATGCAATTTTGATAATACCTGATCACCAAGAATAAATAGTGAACGTGAAATTTTGTTCTTTGTTGAGAAAATCTGGAGCTAGTACTATTCATATGCTTCAGAAAACCTTTAAAAGTGATACCTTGGATAAATCACAACTATTGGAAAAATCAGACTCCTAACAAGTGTACGAGTTAGTAGCTATCCAGCTTAAAACATGGGAACATTTCATATGGAAATTGGTGTAATAATAGATATCGATTGACAAGGAAGAGGGAAACATTGGAAAAGTACAGCATTAATGAACATAACTGAAAGATCAATAACCAGATATCTACATAAACACTTTCCATCTGGCTTTAAAAAAAAAATAAAAAAAAACTTGCTGTTTGTGGACCACCAAATCATCATTTTCCTCAGTGTGACTTTCTTCTCTTTCCACAAGTAAAGAAAGCTCTTAAAAAGCAATTTAGTGTATAGAAAATGCAGTCCATTAATTTTTTTATGGTCATCAACATGGTGAGCTTGCATTTCAGTTGTGCACCACAGTGAGTGCTAACAAACATAGCTCATATTACAAATTTATGGCTGATGGATATCGCACATATTTGAGAAGAAAGAATTGCTTTATCTTGCAACCACCGAAGGATTAATGTTAGTGATATATAAAAATTTGCTATCTGTCTTGAATAATATTCTGCGTTGAATTCCATAACTGTTCATGTTTCCAGGGAAGGGGAAAAATTGTATTGATTATAATGTAACTGTTTAAAAATAATTCTTTGATTTTTTTAGATCTCCTGCTGTACTATCTAATTGTGAAAGGGTGAGAAACACCATGAGAATTTTGCTTCAGTATTTTGCAGATTGCAAAGTAATGCATTGCTCTACGAGCTGTGGAAATGATCTAAAATTCAAATTGCTCATTTGATTAGTGAGTGAGATGAAATGGAAGAAAAAGTCACTTGAGTGTACATTTATCATTTTCCCATGCAGAAATCCGTTTTTGAGTTGTTTTCTCCTTTCAAAATGAATGTGAAGATGCTTGAAAGATGTCAATGAAATTTTTATTGAACTGACAGTTTAATAACAAGGGGTTTCATTTTAAGTCTTGATGTACTGCTGGGTGGTCATATTGTCATATTGCATCTGAAAAATGCCAATATTCATTGACTGTGCATAGGTTTGAAGGCAGTGAATTGAAAATGATAAGTGAATCATTATTGGTACAGTTGCATTTAGATGTATTTTGTAGCAGTTGAATTGGCGTATACAAAAGGCATGTGAACAGAAGCCCCATAGTCTAATACTTTTAGCATTTTATAGAATGTGTAGAGGGTTTGGGCTGTTCCATTTTCAATGGAAACAATTTCCTGAGCATGGCTAACTATATTGCAAACATGTCTCCTTTGAAAAAGGCTTTCTTTGGAATCATCTTATCAACTTGGAAAACTGTGCTTGTAATGAGACCAAACCTCCTAGTGTAATGATTGGTAATGGGCATTGTGGTGTTTAGTAGTCAGTTTCATTTATGTCTTTCTTATGATAGTCTTGAGAGAGAGCCTTTCTTGACCTTGGGCCCTGGGGTGCGTAAGCATATGCCCTGAACAAGTGGTCAGCTTGTCGCAGGATCCCCAGTGTTTAGTTCCCAAGCGAATTTGGTATTCATTTTATCAACTCAAGGGATGAAAGGCTGAGTCGGCCTTGTCCAGCCCGGGAATCGAACCCCGGACCTGTGTTGCTGCTGCGCGATGCGCTAGCCACTGCGCCACCGGGCCTTTTGATGTATCATAGAAACAGATAAAATCCTACTGCAGTTGTTGAATGCCATATTGTTCATCATTGTGGCATCATAGTTTGGGATGTCATCAATATCAACATGCCAGTCACTTCCAAGTCCATGTAAAAGATGAAATAATGGTTTGCTAGTACAGGAATGTAGCCCTGTGACCATTTGCACTACTCTTTGGAAGATGCTGCTTTTTAGCAAGCTAAAGCATGGCTAAACACCATCAAGATCAGTATTCAAGTTTTGTAAAATATCCAGATGCTTCATTGGCTATGCATAAGGACCCTTAAATCTGTTTCCAATCAAGCATCTGCCGAATATTATGGGCAATTGTTTGCCTCAACCTGAAATGAAAAATAAACTGGACTAATGTTGAAAGCTATGTGGTTATCCACATCTTGAGATATCATCCAAATGCTTATTATGAATCTTGAGTTGCAAAGAGACTTGTACTGCCCAAGAAGTGGTTCCTCTTTTTGATCATTCTATGTTTTCTGCCATTGTAATGAACATTGTAATTGTTGAAAATTGCTGTTTTTATCATCCAAAGAGGTGGTTCTTCTTATTGATCGCCTTTATATTCAGTCGATGTAGTGCACTGGTAGTGTATTTTTGGACATAGATGCTGAATGAATCTAAATTATAAAGATTTGCTTTTTGTATCATCCAAACAACTGAATCTCTTTCCTGATTATCATCTTGTATGTTCAGTTACTGTAGTTTATTACACGTTTAGACAAGACATTAGAATGCTAACTGAATCTGTAGCGTGAAGAGTTGCTGCTTGTATCACCACGGGGATGATGATTTTTCCTGTTGATCATCCTAATATTCAGCCACTGTAGTGCATCATGTTTTTGTTTAATTCCATGCCTGTGTATCAGTTTTTATCATATTCTTCCGTTTACTTCATTGTGTTACATTTCTGTGTCAAACAGTATATATTATTTATTATGTTATTAAATTTTTCAATATTTGGGGTTAGCTGACATCTTTTAATGCATTAATGTTGACGTCTTTTAACATGGATTTTCTAGGTCAGAAGATCGAGTTTATTTATTTATTTTTTAATTTTATTTTCAGCAAATATTGCTTTTAAAAATCACATGAAACTTCATATCCAGGTTTTTGTTTTAACTTTTTGTCAATCTTACTTTTCCATTGCATGTCTTCTATTTTGTACAATTGCACTGTTTCAGAACTGAAGTAATCATAATATTTTGGAAAAATACTTTACGTCTGAAGATAATTGTTTCTGTCTCACTTCGTAGCAATCCATCATATGAGATGAAAAATTGTGATGCAAACAAGGATTGTCCTAAGATCTTTCTGCATGAAAAGAGTTTTTAAAATGTGATGTGATGCAGATATATGTTTTATCTGATTGATCTGGAACTGATATTTAAATTTAAAAAAGAAAAAGGAATGAAAGAAACCATTTCCACTCTCCCTTAATTGAGAAGAGAAAGAGGAAGGAAAAGAAGAATTTGGAACAGCCTGCCACAATCTCAGGAAGGTACTGTATTATTGGCTGTGTATTGGGCAGACACTGACTAATACCTAAGTACCTATTTTTTATAATATTGCTATATGATTTCATGTAGTATTTTTGCGACCTTTACATATTCTAAGCAGCATAAATCTAAATTATGTTCAGTTATAATTATCCTTGACTTCTTGTTTTCTGCAGGCAATTGGTAATCTTGAAACTAATGTATTTGGTAAAAATTTTCACACCAAATTATTTCCTGAAGGTAAGTGACAGTTTTGTTTGTAAACATAAGTTTGTTTATTTAATCTGTAGCTGTAAATATCTGTAATTTTTTATAACCATTTTGTAGTTTATCTTCAAACATCACTGTGTTAACTTGCAGTTCCTAACTGTGTAATATTAACTTCCACCTGACTCTTTTAGATTACTAAGTGAGTTTAGCTCAGTCTGAAAATGTGTAAGTTTATGAAGGTTTTTACATAACTGTTTTATTTAATCTTGAATTGAACAGAAGGCACAACTTCAGTGCACAATCAAAACTCTGTCACTTGTGGGTATTCAAATAACATACATTAATTAAAAAACGTGTTTGTCTCTGATTGGGACTGTATTATAGGCTGAGGTAGTAATGTCTTTTCGTAGTTTTATTAAAAACACAACAGTATGCAATACATTACTTAAGAACCGAAGTTCTTGACAATTGATACCGATGTGACTTGGTGCCAGCTGACAGCAAACTAAAATTTTCCCACCTAGTTGGCAGCATTCAAATTCAAAGTGCAATATCGCCAAGTTTGGTGAAATTACAATTAAAGGCAGCAACAAAGGGATTGTAGTCCATGACTGCACAAATTTGGCCTAAGCTAGCTCAAGCTTCAATAGTGTGGTTTAATTTTGACTAACAAAATGTCCAATGTCGGAATATTAACTGCAGACCTGTGCAGTAGAAAGTAAAGCTGCAAGCATCACTGCCAGATCTATTTCTAAAACATTTAAATCTTCATTGTATTCTTGTGATGGCTGATGAAAAGGAGAAGTAACAGTATAGATCAAAATCATAAAAATTTATTAACATAAAAACTGTATAAACTTACAAACTAGCTGAGCAAATAAACTGCAAATATCAGCAAATAACTGTTCCATGTAGACAGAAAAATATTGAATTAAAATTCAATTGTTTATGCAATTATGAGAGTCACTTAATATATAGTAAAAGTATAAAGGCAGTAAAAGTACAAAAATAGCAGATTTTACTGATAGAAGTAGGTGAGCCACCAGAAATTCAGCATTGGTCCTGGTTCACTAACTGTGCTGTTCTTCCTCAATTTTTAGAGCACCCTGAAAGGAGATCAGTGTAATGTCTTCCACTCCTTTTCCTCTAGCCTCTCAAGAAGATTTTTAGTTTGCCATGTATCTCGAGTGACTCCCCTTGCCGTTCAGACTATATTTTTAAAAAATTCATGCCTTTTCTGGGTTTTGAGCCCAGGCCCATCAGTATGGCAGTCGGTGTCACTAACTGTTATACCAGCTGGGCGGTGGCAGATTTTATAACAAAATGCCTGTGAAAATGCATGTCTGAAATTTTTGTTAAAAATTCTGATTTTTAGTTTGAAAAAGTCAAGAGCTAGAGCTAAACTCATTCCTTTATTCCTATTTTCCAAATCCTTTAGGACTTAATTAAAAAAAAAAAAAAAAAAAAAAAAAAAAAAAAAAAAAAAAAAAAAATGCTGAAATTCAGCAGCTGCTTATTTGCACAATAAGGGCATTGTATATCAGTCTTTGGCATTGTATCTCACTTTTTGCCATTTATTACCATTTAGATTTTTTAAATACTTCCATTTAATGTGTTAATAATAATTTAAGGAATTAAAAAAATTCTGTTTCTGAAACGTAGTTTTAAGCTTTAAAAATTATAAAAACATATGTGCTTTCATTAATTTCTTTCGGGAATTTTTTCCAGTTATGATTAGCATGCTAGTTGCTGTGTTTGCCTCAGGTTTGGTTCACAGAGTTTGTATTACAACATGGTAAGTAAAGTATATTAATCATTATTGGAAAATATTTAACATTTGCATTATTTTGTATGTCTAGATTGTATTTTTTATTTTCATATAAAAATGTATTTTGTTTATATATATAGTGTCCCAAATAAAGGTATAATCTGATTGAATTTCAATACAAGACTGCTTTTGCTGGGTACACACCATATTTATTAAAAAAGAAAAAAAAAACTTTTTTTCGGCTATATATGTGTTCTAATATTTGGTGGGTTTTTTAATCGGATATTTTGATAAGTAAAATTAGTAAGAGTTTAAGTATTATTCTACACAGAATAATTATACTGTTTGAATACTAAATAAGCAACATAAATCAGTGATCTCAAACTCAATTTGCATGCAGGCTGTATGCGCAATCTGAAAACAACTAACAGGAATTAAATAGTTTAATTAACAAAATTTTAAACTTCATTTACTAAATATTTATCTAATCATACTTGAAGAAAAAAAAATAATAATGCAAAAAAATTCGAATTAATATTTATTTCCAATATGAAACTTAAAAGTTGGTTACACTTAGTAATTCACATCTAAATATTAAATTATCAAAACAGCATTTATTTCAAATAATTTAGTGGTTAACTCAATGAATTACATAATTCTTTGGCTTTAAATAAAAAAACAAATTATGAAATTAACTATGCTTTAACTAAAATAAGCAAGTTATGAACATTTTCTAAATGAGATAAGAATTGAGAGTAAAAAATGAAGTCCTATTCCGTCACTTTTATTTATTAAATTTTTCTGTGACATATGCAGAAAAAATACCTATGTTTGTATATAAATAATTATAAACTTCGTTATCTCTTGGTAACATTTTGATTCTCGTAAAATTTGTAACAAAAGTTCACAAGGATCGAATTATCATGAAAAATTTGTACTTCTTCATTCTTTTCTCTTTTACCTTATGTTAAAGACATGGCTTGTACAGTTTAATCTCATCCTTAATTAAAATCCATATTATAATTTTAATGTTATTGTTAATTCAATTAGATAAATTTTTGTTTGAAAGCAATCCACAAAAGTTATGCACAATTCCAAGTAATAAGTATATAAGCTAAATCTAGCAACAAGCACAAATAAACATGTCTTCTAAACTATACATTAGTTGTTGCCATTACCTTATTTCCTCATGTATTTGACTTCCCCAGCTTTTTGCACCAAGCTCTAAAAATTTTTAAATATTTGCAGAATTTTTCTCTTTCTTGGTGCATTCAGAGAATGAACCCATCTAAATTTTAGCATGAATTCTCCTCGTAGTGATTGTTTTCATTTTTCTAACAAAAATAAACCCTTGGCAACTAACTACAAAGGTCACGCCGAACTTTTTTTTTTAATTTTATGTCACCTTAATAGGAGAGTCAACTAATCACAGCAAAGCAAATATGAATTGGCAGTCGGTCTACGATTTTACAAGTCAGGTGTCAGTTTACATTCTCTAATTATTTATGGATGATTTAAAATCTAAAGAGTAGCAGAGCTAACAATAAGAATCATTGAGATTCAAGTTACAGGAAGTAGAAGTGAAGCTATCTTATTAAACACTGCAATGTTGTAATGTTAGTATTACTATGTATTTTTTATTGGAATAGAGGATTCTTTTAAAAAAATAATACTGTGATCTCTCTGTGTCTACCTTTCATTGTAATGTTCTTACTGTAACTGCATTCTTTGGAAATTAAATTATTTGCATGATTTTCTACTCTTGATTTTTGGACAGTAATTTATGACAATAAAAATATGCAAGGAAATACATTAAATAATATGAATTTCATGGCTGTGGCATCCAGCTAACAAGTATGTTTGACTGAGGGAAAGTGTGTATCAGAAATACCAATTCAAAAAATTGGAAACATAAGAATACAGAAGCAGCAGTAGTTGTCAGCTGACAAATTAAATTTACTGATTGTGCTGATGTAAAATGTTCTTCTGCTTTACCCCAGTTACATGGCATGGTGCACAAACATACATTGATCAAGACAACCCTCCTCTCAACATAGTTATCTCTTTTTCTTTCAATAGCACTTGTACACATAAATTCAGTCTATATCTCTGTCTTTCAAATGAGCACTGTACTTATTACAAATACGTAAACAAAATGCTTTTGCAGGCCGTGTAAAATTATTTTGGGGATCAGATGTAGCTTTCAGGTTGCCAAATGGAGACCATTGACATTGATAATTACAGCACTGCTAATTTTAATAGCTACATATAGCTGAGAATCTTCAGTTTAAGCCTGAATCTGTTATACTGAAAGCAAATAAATAACAATGAATCACCAGCTTCTCTTTGCCTTTGTTTTTGGGCTATTTTTGTTTACCACAGTTAATGGTACTATTATTAGGAAGAAATTGTGGAAGATGGATAATAAAATTAAGATTTTTTTTTAATTATTGCACAACAAAATAATTATTTTCACATGCGCTTTTATTTCCTAAAATTTCTCCTAAAATGTCAAGAAGGTTTTATATTCAAGGGGGTCTTACTTTTAACTAAGCATGGTATGTAATATGAACATACTGTATTGTGTCACACTACTATAAAAAACAAAGTATTCCTATGGAAAAAGTAATGGTATCAATACAAATCAAATTGGCATAATTTTTGATTGGTTTGAGTATACATTAGTTTAGACATCCTTGTGTACTTGAGTTTTGATTTTATGATATCACTATCATATGGTAACATAATAGCTATAAAAAAAGTTTTAGAGTGATGGTCATACTGTAGTAAAATTTGAGGAAAATACATTTGCGTAATTTAATAGTAAAAATGAAGATTCAATGTAGTAATTAGTACATTATAACCAAAATTTTTTATCATTAACTGCAGTTTTGTTGAAACTTAGTCTAACATGATTAAAACATTATTGTGTTGGTAGCAAATTGCAGTAAAAGTATAGTAGTTGAAGTGGAAGTTGCAGTGCTTGGTCAAAAGAACAGAAGTGTAGTCCAATACTGTTTTCTCTTCACTTCTGACATCAGTGGAGTGAAAATTGCATCATTAGCAAAATTGCTGTGCAGAAAAATATCAGAAATTTCAAAAAAATTTAAATTGCTTTGCAGAGTAATGCAAGTAATAATTTTAGCTCTTCAAAACTGAAATCTGTGATTTTATTGCAAAATTCCATGCTTGTTGAAAGCTTCTGTTGACTGTCTCAAAACCAAAACTTCTGTTTGATAATAGCATGTGTCAAATGGGAGTTTTTATTATTATTATTATTATTTTGTAATTTGGCTGATTCTTGCATTGAATTCTTTCTTTATTTTTTTAAACTATACTCAAAATTAAAATGCTTTAAAATATACATCTTTTATGAAGTACTTTATAACCATTTTAAAAATCTTTTTGGAATGTTATACAAGGTTAAAATTTCAGGTATTTAAAACTGATCATTGACAGAGTAATATGGAAATGTTTTTAGTTTTACCACAAAAAGAATGGAATGTTTTAATTCATATTCATGCAATTTTAAATTTTCTACCAGGATGCTGAAATTGCAATTATGGGCCATATCATACAGTGTTTTATTTTTGGAGGAAAAGGCTTAATTTCTTTTTGATTAACTATTTTTATATTAGGATCAATATGAAATTTTAATACTGAACATGAACAGTAAAAAATTTTTAAATATTTTAAAAGTGTGAAAATAAAAATTGATTTTGTGAAATATCAAAGCATTGTATCTTTGGGATATAATAAGGCTTTTTCCCCCATTTGTTTACAATTTTATTTCAAAATGAGATGTCAAAAGCAACCAAGATTCCATTCATTTATTGCATTCATAACTTTAGAAGGTCAAATGCAATAATTTTGATGAATATGATGCTGAGTAATTTAATTAACAATTAAATCACACCTTAGTATGTTCATTTGGAAAAAGACTAACATAGTAATTTGAAAGAAAAAAAAGAAATTCATGTAAAAGACTAAATACTGAGCCTTATATCTTTAAGATATTTCATATCAAATTTTTTTTTTTTTTTTGTTTGCAATTTTGTTGCTGAATAAGATATTAAAAGCAATTAAATTCAGTGAAGTTTAGAAAAACAAATGCAATAATTTTGATGGGGATTGATGTTGAGTATGTTAATCAACAGTATTGAGTCATTCAAGAAATTGTAAACTATGTTCCAACAATTGAAAACACTGTTAAACATAACATAACATTTAGTGGCGCTTCCTTCTTATGAAAAGAAGGAAAAGAGCTTAGGCAATATTGCCCATTGCTCTTCCGCCATTTGATCATTTAAATCAAAGGATTGAAATGGTAACTCCCATGAAAGGTAAATAATAAATAAATAGATAAGATCCCAAACTGACACCAAATATACAGTATCAGCAAAAGATCCCATCTCTAAATTCACGGTGTCGGTTAAATCGTGAAAACTTCCCTATTGGATGAAGAGACGATTTAATCCCTCCCAACCATCAGACGCAAATTCTTGACCAAACAAGGGTGCAATGGCGAGTCAAAAAAAAAAAAAAAAAAGGGGGGGGAGGGCAGAGGTGTTTTCTCACGCCAAATGGCCAGGTGGTGTATAAAGATTTGATATCTATTTCCCAATTATATTCCAAAACACAGCTATGAGAGGGAAATTCCTGCATAGTTTCTTTTCAAAAAAAAAAAAAAAAAAAAAACTCGCAGGGCGTCTCAGTGCTTGTTTCTTGTGGTTTCAAATTCACCATACCTGTAAGTGTTTAGTATACATCAGAAACCCTATTATGCCAGAGAGGCCTTTGTGTAGAAGGGCTTGATCAAAGCTAATATAGGGAAACCCAAGGAATTTGTTTCTAGGGACAGAAAACACCGAACATCGTCCCAGAAAGTGAAAAGGTGTTTCCTCTTCTTCTCCACAAGCTGGGCAGAGAAAAGATTCGACAAGACCACATTTGAGGAGATGCTTTGTGGGAAGCATGTCTGGTAGCAATTTGAATTACCTGGCGTAAGTTAGTTCTACTGAGGTGTA